TTCGACGTGGAGGGCTAAGGGGGAGGCCTTTGTCCAGCAGTGGACGTCTTCCGGCTGTTGATGATGATGAGGATGTGTCTGGTTTACAAGTCGTTTGAAAGCGTATCCATGATACAGAAGGTTTTAATACTTTCTAAACATGAGCCAAAATTACGTGAAACAACGTTTGCTTGTTGTGTTTCATCGTGTGGGTGAGGTTACTGGAGACCCAATTCCCCTCCCCAATCTCCCCAATTCTTAAATCCCTAACAATCCCCAAATTGCTAATCCCCAAAAAGCCGATAACGCGTTTGTAACGCCTCTGGTGTTCTAGGTGTCCATGGGCGGCGCCGCTTGCTTACCATCAGGTGATCCGTCTGCTCGTTTACCGGCTTATAAAAGTTAATAATAGTGAGGATAAAAAGGTACATGACATTTAAAACCACAATAAAACTTACAGTTACAAAACATTCTATAATCTTTAAAACCTTCGTTTTTGCATTCCTCAGATGGCGCCACTATAGTATAAAGACCCGCTAATCCAATCACAACTATCCTAATACAAAGAATCGTCCATATATTTAATATTAAAACTTATATTTATGCCAGAAACGACCACTATAAAGCCATATAGTATACTTACCCTGGATTATCAGAGATGTGACGGTATGGCATAATGTCTGTCATTATGCGCGTACGCACGTACACGTGTGTGCGTAATGACTGTATTCTTATGCGGCGCGGGCCAATCGGCGCCGGCGCAAACATCTGCTGTCGCTAGGAGGATGTGGGGTTTGTTTTGGAGGAGGCTTTTAGTAAAGGCTTAAAAAAGAAAATTATCTGAAATTCTGAAATTTGAACTCCAGGAGAACGATGAAAGAGTGTGTTTTAAATTTTCATCATATTAACAACATGTGATAGTCCACATCTGGACTACGGTCCTTTTTATACCACGACGGTGGCAAAACATCACACGGCCCACCTGATGGTAAGCGGTTACCGTGACCTATGTACGCCTGCAACACTTGGGGCATTACATGCGTCTTGCCGACCCTTTTTTTTAATGGGGGAAAATCATCGAATGACTGCTCCCGCCTGGGTGAGCCGGGAGGGAGTGTCAGACCCTTACTAACTAAAAACCATCCAGTTCCTTCTCCTGCACGTCAAGAAGCAGGCGTCTTAAACCTCCGGGTCACCACGACTACACAATTCTATAACTCATCAATGATAATCTCATATTCATTTACAAGACAAAATGTCAAATTAATATTAAAAAAGAAATTATAAACAGTGTGTCCCAAAAATCTCCTGACAATATTCTTAAATCTCAACCTTGGCATTGCTATGCACATCACACGGCTGATTAGACCTGTAACTGCAGCCGAGGTGTACAACTCGCAAATTGCATACATCCTGTATGTTGGATGGCTAGTCGGGAATCTTAATAGCAATGTTATTACATAGTTTGTCATCGAAATATGGTTTGTGAGCTATTCAATTATAATACTAGAAGTAATTGGCTATTATTTTATTTAACCTGTGTTTAGATTGAGAGGTAAATCCACAGAAATATTTGTATTGTAACTTTCGTAAGACATACTAAATAAATTATTATATATTCGGCTTACTCACGTAACTGTTTGACGAGGAACTCGACTAGTTTCAAGCCATGCTAGAGGCTCATATTCATGAGCAGCATTTCGCGACCCGCGACGCGGCGACTGTCGCGCTGCTACTGGTAATACTGGTACTACTACTATTACGTGAGTAAGCCGAAAACATAATAATTTACACAGAAATATTAAAGACAGTGTTATCTTCTCATCATAACATCTCATCATAACATCTCTATAGATATTTATATACGAGACCTATGTCCTGTAACTCAGAAATTTGAAATCCAGAATAATGATTACGTCCCCGAATGTAGGACGTCGCCACGAAGAACTTACACTGCCGAGTTTTGAACTCAAATTAACTGATCTCTAAATTAACATATATGAATCGCACTACATACAATCAATGCTTACTTAGGTGTACAAAAAACTTATTAAATTTTTCTACGTTAATTTTGACAAATTGCGATTTTTTGGTATCTTTCCGTTAGATGTGTAAATAAGCAAGATCCTAAGAGACTTTAGCTATGAGCCCTAATTTGTTATCTCGGAAAATTATTCACAAATTCTCATACAACATTAAAACTATCAATTGCCTATAATACAGGAATTATTCAAGAACAGAGACTAAGCGACGCCCCATAAATAGTAAGGATCCCGTTAGCAATTTGTTATGCACCGCATATAAGATGTTGATTACTTTTCTAAATGGTATCCTCGACAATATTGATATTGATGATATTATCTATTGATGATTTCCTGTACATTGCAGTGAATATTAATATCTATCTAACAATGTATTCATCGGAAATGGTCATATAGAAAATACCACATGAAATAATGCATGATTAGCGGTTCCTTGCATTTTCACGTACGTCCTGTTGTCATTTGAGATCTAATATATCACCTTACAACCCACTGGACAATAATACGTGTTACCGAGGATATGGCTCGAAGCCAGAGAAGGAACGGGGTGGTTTTTAGTCAGTAAGAGTCTGATACTCTCGCGCCTCACCCAAGACGGGAGAAGCAATTGGATGATTTTCGCCCCTTAAAAAAAGTCTGACACACCTTCTTGTCTCACTCAGGGCGGATCATTTATGATTGTCCCCCTCAAAAATGAAGCCAACACTAGCCAGTACAGCTAGCCAGAATCTACAATAGAGACAAACCAAAAAGTACAAAGACCATGAAGTTCAGTATGCGTCTTTGATATAATCCTACTTCGTACTATAATATTATCAATACGAAAGTTTGTGAGGATGTATATTATTATGTCTGTGTGTTTGTGCGTTTGATACTCTTTCACGCAAAAACCGCTGAAGGGATCGGAATAAAATTTGGTACAGGGATTTTTTTAAGGGGGGAAAATTTTTATATAAGTTTGTGTGATGGTGTTTATGATTTAATTTATATTCTGTGCAAAACGCCGTTGGTTACACATTTGTTCAAACCTATGTATTGTGTCATAATGTATCATGTAATGTGTCACTGTTTGTTTTCCCAAATAAATAAAATAAAATAAAATAAAATCATCGAATGACTGATCCCGCGTAGGTGAGGCGGGAGGGAGTGTCAGACTCTTACTGACTAAAAACTACCCCGTTCCTTCCCCTGCACGTCGAGCCGGAGCCCCGGTAACCCGTTAGGTTCTCCGCGACTTGGTAGTCTTGGTACAGGGATAGGTAATGGTCTGGCATAACACACAGGCCACTTTTTACACCACGGGAACACGGGCGACGTCGCTGACAGAAGCAGCAGCAGTCGTCAATAATAGCAACGAAATCATCAGTTACTGTGACGATCTTTTTGGGCCTTTTTTTAAGGGGGAAAATCATCGAATGACTTATCCCGCCCGGGTTAGGCGGATCTTTTTGGGCCTACTTGAAACAAATACTGAAACGGTCACCCATCCTCAAATTGACCCCATCAATCATGACCTACCTTGAAATAATGACGGCATTATATTATCTTAGTTAAATAAATGCACGTAATACACACTATAGGGGTATCACCATAAGAATTTAGTACAAAAAACTATTGCGTCAGACTAAATTGTCTATGCGCTATATAAAGGAAAAGTTTCCTATTCTTGTCCATAGTTTTCAAGTTTCGAAACAAGATGGCGGACTGTAGATTCGTTTTCGCGGTTATTTTTGTGTTTTGTTTTGCTATTGGTGAGTTCTGAGACGTAATTTTTTTTATGGCATAAACCGGTAAACGAACAGACGGATCACCTGATGGTAAGCAATCGGCGTCGCCCATGGACACCTGGAACACCAGAGGCGTTACAAGTGCGTTACCGGCCTTTTGGGGATTAGGAGTTTGAGGATCGTTGAGGATTCAGGAATTGGGGAGATTGGGGAAGGGGAGGGTAATTGGGCCTCCGGTAACCTCACTCACACGACGAAACACAACGCAAGCGTTGCTTCACGTCGGTTTTCTGTGAGGCCGTTCTTTACCTTTGCTTAAATATTCTTAAGGAATGTTTTATGTGACCGGTGTTTGGTAATAGGGTTGCGCTTAAGATTCTGATAGACCTTCAATAAGGTTCATATTTGCAACTTCAAAGAAGGAGGTTTTCAAATTGAACCGTATGTATGTATGTATTTTTCTGGTCGTTTATCTCGCAATTGACTAAACCGATTTTGATATGGTTTTCAGAAAAGTGTTTGTTATACTTAGGAGAAGGTTCTAGTATATTAAACTGTCAAACACCGCGAGGACACCGGTGACCGCAAACTATTGTTCTTTAATTGTGTCTATAATGACGGTAATCAAGTTAATTAACCGACTTCAGAAAAAGAGGGGGTTGAAGTCGGTCTTTTTTAATGTAGTTTATAAAAGAATTACTTGCTTCTGGATTACCGATTTAAAACTAGATTTGTCTCAACCATTTTCAAATACTCACCCCCTGTTACATGGGACTCATAACATAAATAGTGCCGTGCCGTAATGTGCACCTCCGCCTACCCCTTCGGGGATAAAAGGTGTGATATTATAATATCCAAATAAGACCAGGTTTTTAACTACCAAAGCGCACCTAACAAACAAAATATTGACATTTTTATATTATACTAGCTTCTGCCCGTGACTTCGTACGCGCAATCCCGTTCTTTACCATTCCCGTTCGTGATTTTCGGTATCCTATGTCCGTCTCCTGGTTCTAAGCTACCTCCCCACCAATTGTCATCCAAATCGATGTAGCCGTTCTTGAGTTATAAGTAGTGTAACTAACACGACTTTCTTTTATATATATAGAAGATTGTAAACGATAATTAAATAAAAGACAACGATTCACTGTTTTCCTTCCCAGGTGAAACGAAAACAGTGGTTTCGAGTAACAAAACATACATTGCAGACTTAGTACCAATGAACACCGCAAAGAATAAAACAAAAGACGTAATGGTTTTCAAAATAAAAGATAGAGTCACATTTCCTAACATTTCGGACGTGGAGATAATTGTGAATGGCCTGACTGGATACCAGAAGCCTAATCAAGTTAGGAAGCAACATAAGAATGCTAAATGTAAGCTTTTTAAAAAATCTTAATTATTTCATTTAATATCAATTAGATTTAGAAATACCTGCATCTTACGATAGTTATTATAAAAGACTAGCAAACTCGGCGAACACCGTTTCACCACCAGATAGCTTCGTTGTATGGAACACTAGCTTTTACCTGCGGCTTCGCTCGCGTCACAAAAGGATAAAAAGTAGCCTATGTGACATCAGTGACATATACCAATACATACAGCGCCATCTATACCAATACTTTTGTTTTCCCTCGGGAATATCATTTTTCCGGGATAAAAAGTACCCTATTATTTAATCCACACTTCTAACTTTACGTCTGCAAAAATTCAAAGCAATCGGTTCAGTAGTTACGGCGTGAAATCGGAACAAACGAACAAACAAACAAACTCGCTTTCCGATTTATAATATTAGTAATGATTCTTTGCTATAAACCTCACGGAGCCCGAGACCTTTCCAACGAATGCAAAACCGTGGAAGTCAGTTCGTGCGTTCTGTAGTTATAGTGTCAGGAAAGAAAACCCGACTTATTTTTATATAGTAGATTAGTATACTAAATTAACTAAAAATTGTGCGATCTAGGTAGGGTGCGCGACATCGCCGCGACCGCGCATGCTGCTCATAAGGAAGAACCCCTCTGTGGCCCGAAACCAGTAGAGCTTTTCTCAGTATATTCATCTGAGTTACCCGCGATGTGTATAAATAAATAGTGAAAAATGGGTGTTACATTGTGCAGTGGCATTAAGTGCCAAAATTTGCACCTCTGCCTACCCCTTCGGATATAAAAAGGCGTGATGTTATGTTATGTTATGTTACCAGCGATTTGTAGTTAATTTAATTAGGTAATATTAATAAGCCTTTGTGTTAGGTCTTAAAATAAGTTTATCGGAAACGAAAATTGTTAATAACAAAAAATGTGCAATATCATTTTTGGTCTCAAACTCAAAATCTTATTATTTTTAAAACAATGTCTTGAAGTTACATTACTTATACTTAATTTCCGTTTCTATGGGAATAATTAAACCTACGCGTAGGTACCTACAAAACCATGAGTAAATCTATCCTTACTAATATTATAAATCAGAAAGTGAGTTTGTTTGTTTGTTTGTTCCACTTTCACGTCGTAATTACAAAACCGATTGCTTTTAATTTTTGCAGACGTGAACTTAAAAGTCTGGATTAAATAATAGGGTACTTTTTATCCCTGAAAAATTTGATATTCCCGAGGGAAAACAAAAGTATTGGTATAGATGGTGCTGTGTGTATTGGTATATGTCACATAGGCTACTTTTTATCCTTTTGTGACGCGAGCGAAGCCGCGGGTAAAAGCTAGTACAGATATAAAATAAAAACAGCGTTTAAAAACCGACTTCAATAAACCAAGAACTAATAACAAACAATAAGTCAAAACTAAAAAGCCAAAAATAACTATTATTAGTACTGATAGGTTACCCACCCAAAATTAGTCATTAAAACCTTAATAGATACCTAATTTACAATTTTGTGGCCACTAAGTTATATCATTATGATATGAGCATGGGAGACGGGCGTGAAGTTATGTATGTAGAATAGTAAAATCTCAATATTAACTTCAATAAACAAAACATTACCTTCCATTCTTATTTCACTGCATAGTAACTAATACTGACCTCTATTAACTGTCAATGCCAACTACGTCACATCACCCAAAGGTAAATAAACCCTAAAACTATGAACTAAAGTCTATACTCGCTTAAATGTTTCCTATTGATCGCATGCAATCCACGCTAAGTGAATTTATCAATTCTATCAACTACCTGTGACGTCATAGTCTATTTTTATCTGGTCGTACTGATTTGTAGAATGTACTTGATAATTTCGAGTAGTATTTACAAGTCAGGATGGCCGAGCGGTCTAAGGCGCTGCGTTCAGGTCGCAGTCCACTTCTGTGGGCGTGGGTTCGAATCCCACTTCTGACAAACTCTTTTTGTCAAAACTTTAATATCGTAAATTAACATTTTTAGTGTATAATCATTTTCAGAATGTTTTATTTTGTTTGTTTATTTATATTTCAATTTTTTTTCTTCCAGTATCGTCTGAATTTTTTTCGTCTTCAAATCCAGAAGATCAAGAACAATGGGAACGTATAGTAGGTGGTATAAAGGCTCCTAATGGATCAGCACCTTACCAGGTGTCGCTACGGTTATGGGGCGTGTGGCACTTCTGTGGGGCCTCTCTAGTGACCCCTAGAGTTATACTTACTGCTGCACATTGTGTTGACAGGTAAGGCAAGTAATTCTTAAGAAATTTGTTCACAATTTGTCTCAATCTACAATTTAAACTTTCACATTTCATACGTTTAAAGCTAATTTAAACTAATATTAATATTATAAATACAAATAACTAAAAACTATAATATTTACACTTTAAAATCACTACATAGTATAAAACAAAGTCGCTATCCGCTGTCTGTCTGTCCTTATGTATGCTTAGATCTTTGAAACTACGCAACGGATTTTGATGCGGTTTTTAGTTTTCTTTAATAGATAGAGTGATTCTTAAGGAAGGTTTATATGTATAATACATGTATATTGCACCCTTGCGAAGCTGGGGTGGGTCATAAATAATAAAAATGTTACGATATGATGCCCATCAAAAAAAAAAATTTACCTCATCGCAATCGTGAGGGACGGTGCCCAAAATACTAGCAGCATTACAACGTTGAATGGCAATTTTGAATGCAATGAAATTTGTATGCTTATTTTACTTAATTTCAATAATAATTTACTTTTTATGCCAAATAAAACTACTTATTTAAATTCGTCAATTGTTTATCAGTGAATATAGTAAAAAGTTTTCAATGTTATTGTTTGCTATGAAATTATTAATAGGCGCAACGACGACAAACTGCAAGACGCAGTCGAATTCAGAAAAACAATTTGTGAATCGTACAAATAATTAATAAATCATTCCATGCAATAAGTAACTGCTTCTAAACGATAAGGGTAGGTCCGGACCCCTGTTCTCTTACCACCTTGACTTCCATGAATGTGATGGACAATAGAAAAAATACAAGGATACTTAACACTCGAAATTTCTTTCAGTTTCTTCATTGTTTAGGTATATTAAATAAAATCGCGGGTTACTCACGTGAATATACTGAGAAAAGCTCTACTAGTTTCGAACCACAGAAGGGTTCTTCCTCATGAGCAGCGTGCGCGGTGCGGCGACGTCGCATAGACTAACTAGTAGAGCTTTTCTCAGTATATTCACGTGAGTAACACGCGATTTTAGTTAATTTAGTATGTCTCACGATAGTTATTATAAACAGTTTACTTATAATTACTTCATTCCAGACTAGCCCCAAGTACTTCAAAGCAGTTGTAGGCACAAACCAGCTTCTAGCAGGAGGCACAGCATACGACATTCGAAAGATAGTGGTCCACGAGGACTATGACGATTATATCATCAAGAATGATATCGCCATACTGTTTACTGAAGTGGAAATGGGTTTCGGACGGAAGGTGGACGCTGTGGAACTTAATGATGAGCCTGTGCAAAAGGGGGAGGAGTTACTGTTGACGGGTTGGGGGACCACGTCGGTGAGTTTGATTTACTTAATTCATATAATAAAACTTTGTTACTCTATTCTCCGTACCTTATTTTTCGCAGATTTTCTCCTAAAACCCTAAGGTTGACTGGTAGAGAATGCCCTATGGCATTAAGTTCGCCTTATCTGCCATAATCAAATTGTGTACATGAAAGACTAAATAAATAAAAAAATAAATAAAACGGGAGTTTTAAGGTTCTGAATAATCGAGGATAGGCTGATATTATTATCTTATATTTGGTCAACGGCCTTGTCAGAATCAATGTAAATTGATAGGTGAACTTTGTAGCATAATTAGTGGAGAAACGATGTTTTAAAAATTACAAACAACTCGTTTCTGCCAGCAGGATCGCTCGCGTTCCTGTGGTAGATAGTAGCCTATTTGTTATTCTGGACCATAAAGTACCTCTTTTCCAAATTTGATCAAATTCCCTACAGTCATTTTAACTTGTAAGAGTAAGAAACACACACACATGCATCCTCACAAAATTTCATTTAAGTATAATATTAGTAGGAAACAGAATTATAACGCCTTTAAGAATTGTCATAGCAGTATGTAACTACCATGCGTATCTTTTGTTTTACTTATACTTATTAAGTTTTTACCTTCCTAAAATCGTTTCTTGTCCACAGTACCCAGGTCGTGTACCCAACGACTTAATGCAATTGGAACTAAGGTCCATCACGTATGAAGTGTAAGAAGCTCATAAGAGCATTAATCCTGTGTTCGAAACTCAGATTTGCGCCTTGACAAAGGCTGGAGAAGGCGCTTGTCATGTAAGCGATTTTTTACTTTATTGCCATTTTTTCTGGTTTTTTACAAAATAATTATTTTAAGAAAATATACAGCAGAGGTGCACATTACGGCACTTAATGCTACTGTACAATATAACACCCACTTTTCACTATTTGTGTTATGAAACCCATGTAATAGGGGGTGAGCCTATTGCCATACACCGGGCGCAATTCCAGACTCCGTGCACAACTGTGATTTAAAAAAAAAACAGTAATACTTTGCCCGACACGGGACCTGAATCCTACCCCACTTGCCCGGCAGTCGCACTTGCGACCACGCGGCAAACGGCCTCGTTGGCCGAGTGAAGTCTGTAGTAAGTATCATAAGTAGATAATAATTGTGCCTTCATTTCTTCAGGGTGACTCCGGAGGTCCACTGGTGCGTGAAGGTCGTCAAATTGGCATCGTATCCTGGGGCATCCCATGTGCTAGAGGGAAACCTGATGTCTACACGAAGGTATGATAAATAGCCGTCTACCATAAAGTTAATCTTATACTATTATATAAAGCGGAAGATTTAGTTTTTTTGTTTGTTTGTTTGAACGCGCTAATCTCCGTAACTACAAGTCTGATTTGAATAATTATTTTTGTGTTAGATAGCGTATTTATCGAGGATGGCTATGGGCTATAAAACATTACGCTACAATCAATAGGAGCTGAGCAGAGCGTGTGAAACCGCGTGGAAGTAGCTAGTTTTAAACTAAAGATGATGCTTGTGAGAAGGACTTCAGCCATTTTCCATTTGAAAAATTATCTTACAATACCTTTATAAAATTCTTAAGCCTAGTCCACACAAGAGGGTTTGCTATAATACCCACGTAGTAATAAAAAGTATTTACATACATACATACTTAACTTCGCGCCTGTCTCCCAAGGGGGTAGGCAAAGACAGGGTAGATGAATAATTTATATTTTAATGTCCGTCTGGTAGATTATTTAAAAACATTAACCACGTATTTTTTATTTTCTTACGGAAAAGAATAGTATCCAAGATATATTCATTTGAAATATCGCGTGACGTCACTTTTGAGTACGATTTATACTCTAAAATAATGTAGCTACCTCCCACTCCTAAACTCTGATTCGTTTTATCTAAGTATTGTTTTCTTATACGACAAAATAAAAAAATACGTATCTAATATTTTTTCATTACCTAACTTACGGACTAATTAGATGTTTAATTTTCATACCCTCTCATCATCCCTATTAGTACGAATCTTACATACCTCTTTCGCTTCATCAACAGTCATCAATCTTTTCGTGCATGCTCATCGTAAAAAGTATTTATTTTGACCTATTTGATTTTGACTTCCGTTTCTTTCATCAGGTGGAAGCCTACATGCGATGGATAGAGAAGACACTGTATGATGATGACATGGACCACGTCAGGTACATCGAGGACCATAGACGTCACAGAACTACTAATAGACATTGACGGGTTTATCACAGATCCTCCCCTTCCCCAATCTCCCCAATCCCTGAATTCTCAACGATCCTCAAATTCCTAATCCCCAAAACGCCGGTAAACCTCTTGTAACGCCTCTGGTGTTCCAGGTGTCCATGGGCGACGCTGATTGCTTAACATCAGGTGATCCGTCTGATCTTTTACCGGCTTATGCCATAAAAAAAATTATATTTTGCGACGACAGTTGGTAGATTCTAAACGATTTGCGGTCGAAAATAATGACTTAATCTTAAATCAAAATGGTGGATTGTAGACGAAATTATATTAAATCTTTAATCTAAAATTTATTAATGAAAGTTTTTTCAGAAATTCAATAGAACTGTCTTGTTGCCCGAGTGGTCGCAAGTGCGACTGCGCGGCAAGGTATTACCTACTTGGTTTTTAAAATAAAATTGGTTCTGCGCCCGGTATATGGCAAAAGGGTCACTCCCTATTACAAGGGATTCATAATATGAATAGTGAAAAGTGAATGTTACATTGTACAGTGGCATTAAGTGCCGTAATGTGTACCTCTGCCTACCTCTTCTTCCGGGATAAAAGGCGTGATGTAATTTCAAAAACTCAATAGACTAATGTCCAAAATCGATCGAAAAGATTTTACGTATTCGGATATTTCTTTTCTCAAATTGTAAATGAAATATGATCGCTAATCGTACTTGTATAGATATTAATTTAATTTAATATTATATTTATAGTATAAATATATAATAAATGTGCAAAATGTAAAGCAATTTTTTTTTCATTTTAAGACATTTCCGTCCACATAAACGTAAAATAATCAGCCACTAAGTACTGTCGACAAATTCGAATCATGACCCACAACAGACCATTTCAAAATGGCCGCTTGAAACTACGATTAGTATCTATGTGGTGGTAACATGGTGGTAATTGGTAAAATGTTGGAAAAATTCATTCTGGTAAATCACCCTTAATAACAAGTAGAAAAGTTTAAGTGTGGGAGAGCCATGCTTCGGCACGAATGGGCCGGCTCGACAGGAGTGATACCACGTACTCACAGAAAACCGACGTGAAGCAACGCTGGCGTTGTGTTTCGTCGTGTGAGTAAGGTTCCCCAATCCCTGAATCTCCAACAATCCCCAAAAGGCCGGTAACGCACTTGTAACGCCCTGTTGTTCCACGTGTCCAAGGGTGACGCCGATTGCTTACCATCAGGTGATCCGTCTGCTCGTTTACCTGCTCATGACATAAAAAAAAGAAAATTGATATTTAAAATTTAAAATTATCGACTTGTCCTAGTCCATTATCTTCACTTCATAGGTAGCGGATAGCTGAGAAAAAAAGAGTATATGAACAAGGAAAAAATAATGGTCAAATATTAATTATTATAAAATTCATTATATTTAAATCATGCATATATCTAATATCACAGTAACAGTCTTTATCGACTGTATTACAAATAGATTAATATAACATAGAAAATATTGTACCATTTGCCAAAATAATTATTTTACAAAATACAACCTTATATAAAAAAATATAACCATCACTTATACATTACCTTTACAAAAACAAAATATTAATTTATTTTTGTATTTTTTACAATACTTGAATTCTTAATCCTTGACAAAATATCTAAGTTACTCACAATACCATTTATGTTTTACCATTACACAAAATTACTACAGTCATTAAAATAAAATTTTAAAATCAAATCTTCTTTACCAAATGTCATATCAAGCTCTTAATAAATAAATGGCATCTCAGACCATACTATTTTATAAAAATACGAAATGTGGAGCCATTTATACTGAACATAACACTTGTATTAACTTTCATTAAAATTAAAGTTTAAAACAAGTTTAATAGTAACAAAATATTTATGCAATTAATTCTTTAAAGGTATGAATGGTGAAACAGTATCACTTTTACTACAGTCGACAACAACATTATTTTAAAGTACAATGGCACGTACACACAGAAATTCATATTATCATAAATTGAACATTAAAAAGATGACATGGTTAATTGAGAAAATATTAAATTCATAAAACATTAATTTTTTCACTGAATTAGTGAACAGAATATCAATTGTGCATTTCAGACATCTGCCAAAATATTGTATACACAATTACTCAAAAATAGACTCTATTTCATTGAGTAAAACGGCTTTCTAATCGCCAGCATTAATTTACCAATTTCTTTGGTAATTAAATAGAGAAAAGCGCCATCTATCGACCATACAAGGCAAACTGGTTTCCGTACATTCTATCAGTAGGTACAATATTATTCTAGAAGTTATTATCAAGTACTTATCGATCTCAACGCTTATATTTTACAGTCTTATCACTCATTAAGCCATTAATGAACAGATTTTATCACAAACTCGCATTATAAAGAATATCCATCATACAATACCACAAACCACTTTCTTTCATGATACAAATACCTTTTGTACTAAGATAAACACAATCGCAACATTTAATAATTAAAAAACCACTCCTCTTTGCGATTATATCAACCGATTTTGAATTCTATCGTGCTCTCTATATGGTTTAGAACACATTGCGTTGCAGAAATAGTGTTTGCAATTTGAATTCTATTGCAAATTTAATCTTATTGTTCACGGATAAGAACTCAAAATCGGTGCAATAACCTTAGGTAAAGAAATTAAAAAGATAATCTCTTTAAATATTGCTTTGATTTACACAGAATTATTTTCACAAAATTACATCATTTCCAAAATGTAAATGGAAACAACAACGATGAGTACTCGTAAACGGATCCAAACATAATCTACAAACTCTTGAACATCTTCATTGAAAATATATTCAAAGAACTCACTCTGAACATTATCAGTGGCATTTTTCTCAACTACATACTCATTTTCCAAATCTACATTAGCATTTTTACCGATAATACCAAAGTTTATTAGGTTTTTCGCATTTTCTAATTCCAATGTTACCTGTTCTGAAACACCATTGTTCTTAACTTCGAAGTTGAAGGCTTCAGTTGGCAGCACTGCTGTTGATTGGACGATTGGATATTGAGAGCTTTGTTTCGTAAAGTTGGCAGCGATGGATATTCTTTCGAAGTTTGTGTTGGATTCAGATCTGTAACAAGAAATGATAAGACTTAAATGGGAATTCAAGATTTACACTCTAAGTTCAGAAAAGAACAGCTATCATTGGTTGCGGCCCAGTTCCTATTAAATTGCAACATTGATTACGGTCTCTGGATAAAAATCGGGTCAAATCAAATCCTAATTTTAGTTTTAACAATAACATGAAACCTGAACTTGTGACCTATGTAGTAAACCAGCGCCAAAATATACGAAACTTATTACAATACTGGCAGAAAGTCGGAGTTATTTTAATTTGGCAAAAAAGCCTGCCATATTTCTAATGAAAATGGAAAATAGACGACATTGGGTTGATAATCCTTATAATAAATTTGAAAGCCAATTAGACGAGAAAACTACTTACCCTGATAAAACGCAAATCTGAGTAGCAACATTGTGGTTAGCGCCAAAAGGACGGACACCATTAAACGCCGCCAAATTATAAGCGGATTCAGTCTTGACATCTGAAATAAAAAACAAACACCACTGTTAGTTACCGTAAATGCAAATAATTTTATTGAAATGCATTGCAATTTTTTTAAGATGGCTTCAAGAACATTCGCACTTTAAATAAAAGAGTAGATTTTTGCCTTTATTTAGAACTAGCTTTTACCCGCGGCTTCGCTCGCGTCACAAAATGATAAAAAGTAGCCTATATGACATATACCAATACACACAGCGCCATCTATACCAATAATTTCGTTTTCTCTCGAGAACATCAAATTTTTCCGGGATAAAAAGTACCCTATTATTTAATCCGGACTTCTAACTGTACATCTGCAAAAATTCAAAGCAAACGGTTTAGTAGTTACGGCGTGAAAGCGGAACAAACAAACAAACTCACTTTCCGATTTATAAATTAGTAAGGAAGATTTTTCCTGAACAGAAATCTATAACCAAAAAAAAACAAATCTACTCAAACGCCACCATTTAGGACCTCACCTTTAGCGGTCTTCACATAAAACTCGCAGCAGAAGCTCCTATGGCAGATGGTCTCCGTGTATCCGTTGGCGCTAGCCTGCAAGTCCAGCTGCTTCATCACGTACAGGTTCAGATCCTCAGCCAGGAAGTTCACTGGATTATTGATTGACGGGACAGCTGATACTTCTGTAAAAAAATCAATTTTTATAATAACTATCGTTAGACATACTAAATTAACTAAAAATTGCGGGTTACTCGCGTGAATATACTGAGAAAAGCTAAACTTTCGAACCACAGAGGGGTTCTTCCTCATGAGCAGCGTGCGCGGTCGCGGCGATGTCGTGCAGCCTATTCTCAGTATATTCACGTGAGTAACCAGCGATTTTTAGTTAATTAAGAATTGGATTATTTTTAATTTCGGAAATATTAATATTTTTAAATTCACAATAGTAATGTTCATGGAATTTCAAGATTGTGAATTTACAGAATTTACATAATAGTTATTTTATGCTTATCAGTATTTGTTCTTGAGTAGGTATGCATGAAAAGACTGATGACTTTTGAGAAAGCGAAGGAGGTATGTAAGAATCATAGAAATTAGCGTTCCCTAGCGGAGACAGGCGTGGGTTTAGGTATTTATTGTAAGTCTATTTTCAGACATAGTAAGTGTATATGCACCAGATTATTTACCTACGTATTTTTGATCACATCATTTCAAAACTTAAAATAATCACAACATCGCACATAACAATTACACCAAAACGTGTAATTAAACCTAATTACTATTAAATTCAATGTCCAAGATTTCAATAATAGACACGCAAAAAAGTAATATTCATGTTTTCATAAGCAAGTACTCACACCATGAATTTTTTCTATTAAATTCTATTTTTTTCTAATAAATGCATGTACAATGCGTCTTTACATTATTATTGCATGTAATTATAAACAATTTATGTTTACAAATCTCTCCATATATAAATATATAATAGAGAATTTTACGTCTTATTCATATTCGCCCGGCAACTGCAACTATGCAAAACTTGTTTTCATAGCAAACATTTGAAATTTAGATTTTCATAATTATCTTGGTACGGCATCGGCTGCCACGCCAACTAAAACAATACCTAATTATTCCTCTTTTAAATGAAGAGGGAAAAAAGGAAATTTAATGAACAAAACTGTAATTATTCGCTATACTGATTTCCTCAACTAGTCTAAACTAAGAAAACATTAGACGCGTCATAATTCCTAACACTATGACGTAATGTGGTCTATGATTATTATCAGACATCATACGATGCTCACATGTCGATAACAAACTTTGCAAAACATGTTTGTAATCAAACGTACGAAAATATCAGTCACCTTCACGATGTACTGTAAACATGAAAAACTTAGTATCGAAAGCAATGTGTTTAGCACATACTTGAAGATTTAAATTATTTATACAAGTACATAGTACATCTTTTATTCTGTTTTAAACCTATAGTTCAAACAAATACATAACCAATGCCTGGTTATGACTATGAGGATACCACAGACTGCCACGTACTACGATCCTTACATTCTTCTTTAGCTTCCATGTCATAAATGCATTTGGTCATAAAATCACACCGGGTTACAAACAAGTAAACCATTATGTAGATTATTTTAAAGGTAAAAAGCTAAATGACTTACCATTTTCGCCATTCTTCAGTAGATCAGCAACTACCAGTCTACCAGATCCAGACTTCAATCCAGCCTTCCCAGAATAAATGCCTGTAGTAGACACTAGGTTCACGTTGTTAGTATAAGACCAAGATGGCGCGAATTGGGCAGCTGAAATATATAGAATTGTTGTTATGCCCTGCAGTCTACGTATTTAGAAAATAAAAAAATCGATGGATTATTTGATGTATATGTTTATGAACGTCTGAATTAATGAAAATTCAGAGATACAGATTACAACAAGAGAAGTCTTGTTTGAATCTTCGCTGAAGATATCTTTACAGAACAGAACTTCTTCTGTAAATCTATTATGGGACAACAGGGACTACTGAATCCCTGTTGTCCATCACATTCCCATCTTAATGAATCCTTCCAAGACTTTGGTGTGGAATAGTACTTTTTTAAACCAAATATATTCCTCGTAAGAGCACTATAATTATAAAACCTTTGACTTTTTCTCTTATAATAACATCCAATAACTCACCACTCAAGAACGATAACTCAGACTGCCAGTCTCCAGTCAACACCAAGTTCTTGACTCCTTTCAAGTGCTCTTCATCATAAAGAGCTAAGTCTTCCTCCATCATCACACCAAATGTCACGCCAAAGTCAGTGGTAAACGTAGCTGGCTCTGAAGGCGAGGCTGTGCAGTTGGCATTACTGTTTTGAGGTTTTCTGTAACTGTTAATTTTGGACGGTTGGTATTGTGTTATTGAACTATGGTATAGGTAAGTCTGTGTCATTAATTTTCAATTTCCTTAATCTAATTAGACAATCTGGTGACGCACATTAAATTAACATAATTCAAAAATCTATTCCTTATAAGCAATAATTTTACTCAATTCGGGATTAGAACCCGGAATCTCCTGTTTAGTAGTCACACTAGTAGCATTCAAACAAGGTGAAGCTGGAAACGAGACATATAGTTTACAAACATACATAAATTCTACTTATACAAACTTACACAGCAACAATGTCTCCTTTCCTATCGAACACCAGGTTGCTCCTGACCATTTCATGTCCCAAGTGACAACGAGCCTTCTCATACAAATGTATGGCGACATACAAACTCGCTTCTCTAGCCGTCTTCGATATTATGTCGACAAGCTGTAATAAAAAAAAATGTTGTATGAAATAATTTGCACCTAGTCAAGTGTAATTTTGTCGATTGTACTTTTGCAAAAACAATTAACTATTTTGTCTTTATTTTTTTCTTTTTATTACATTTGGCTGTTAGCTATACACGTTTGTAATTATTGAAATGCCAAAATCACAAAAATTACAGTCTCTGTGATATTTCTAGTTTGTGTTCTGTCAGAAGCTTTGTCGATAATTTTTTGTTGACAATTCTGCCTAATCACTATAAACTACAGCTACACTATCCTATTTCACAATAAAACCCATAAAACAACATATTATATCCAAACAGATTTCATCAGCAAAAAGTATTTATTAAAATCCTTGTTACACTAGAGTGAAAGGCTGTATGCGTCAATACCTTAGTCTACGTGACTTAGGACCACGCACCACGAATTAAAAAGTTATCTATGGAATATTCATTAGAACGAGATGGAATAATAACAAAGAACATAATGTATGTCGTTAGAAAGGGATAGGATGATAACACGTGGGGATTGCGTGGCGGGGAAATTTGAAAGGATTTTTTTATTTTCACAAATAACCACATAGTTAAGTTCATTAACTACAAAGGGTTGAGTAATATATTATTAATGTTTTTTAGATCAGATCAGTAATAATACAGACTACAGACAGAGTATAGAATTTATCATGACTTTCTTCTGAATAGGGAATATGTTTTTTATATGATTTATCATTATGTTTTGCATTTTTATTTATTATTTTAATTGAAACTTACCTCATCATACTTGTCAGACGATTCAACGGAGTCCAACGAGTATATCAACATCCTGGAAATTGATAAAATATGATAAGAATTCGCATTAAACAATAAAATTATTAAATAAAGTTTTAAATGTAAATATAATAATATAATAGGTAAAGATGTTATTTTCGTATTCATATCGTAAAAAAATGGTTTAAAAATAAAGGTACTTCACCTAGAACAGTATTCTTGTATTTTATCTTTATTTAAATTTTATTTATTATTCTGGCATTGAGCTACGCAAGGAAATATTTCTTGCATGTATTTTGATCATGCACATACGAATACGAATGTGACGGTCAATGATCCAGCTGATCACCGCGTGCTCTTTATTTACAAACTTTATTCCTAAATTAAAATTCGAATTTGGAAGAGCGCATGGAATGAATTGAAATTGATTTTTTTTTATTTGACTAACTTAAATAAAAATAAAATCAATTTGTTTTTGACGTTTGACCAAAGAGGTTTTATTGAAAAATGAAAAATAATTAATGTTTTTTAATTTTATTTTATTAGATAAATGATCAGTTAGGTTATCATTGTTTTTCTTTAGTATGTGTTTAAAAATACCTAACTGTGTTATGTTGAGAGTGTTTGCAAAACAATATTGTTATCATAACAAAACATGCTTGAGATCCCTGATACTCCTTTATTGAGGTGACTGGAGAAGTACCAAACCACGACCTACTGCTATAAGATAAACTTCCAGGGAAGGACTTGGACAAATTGGCAACGGTAATTGGGTACTTGGCAACTAAACAAATTCAATACTTTTTTCGAAGTGTCTAAAACGACAGTTTTTATGAATTTTGTACGAGATTGTGTATTGTGACGTCACGTTTATTTAGAGGCAAAATGTTGGAAATATACTAAAATTAAGTTGGTCATAAAATCAATTAATGGAAATGTGATTATTTTTTAATATTTTATTGTATTGGACAGTCGAAATAAATAATTTTTGATTTAGGAAAACACCCATTTTTTTTAAAGTCAAAAATTATAAGTGACGATTTCTTAAAAGTGACGTAAGCCATTTCGACGTCATTTTTCGTTACAAATAATTATTTTTTTAAGCACGCCGCCATAACTGCGTAACAACCCAAATGTTTAGTCCTTTCAGCTACTAACAACTAATAACTACCGAAAAGTTCGACGGTTTAATAATTTTGCCGTCACCGCTCGACACTGGCAGTATAGTCGACAACACAGTTTTGGAGACGCGGTTGCCAAAGAAAAAAAAAAAGACTGCGTAACAGTTATGTACCTACCTACAGTTCGTAGTTTTTCCATATGTTGTAACATTTCTTCATAATACGAATACCAAGGAACAATATAAACAATTTCTATGATAATATTATTTTTATTTGTGACTCACCGCGTTAGCCGCTTCACGTATGAAATGCGTGTACTCGTTTATTTCTTTGTTTTGCAACTGCAGTACACCTGCTCTGTAACTCTGTAACAAAAACATTGTTCTTTTGTAAATATTTGTTTTAATAATATACATTTCAATATTTTCTCTATCGTTATTAAGGTCCGTCAGTTTTCACCTAGATAGATTTCAAAATTTCGTTATAACAGATACGGCCTTTATAGCTTCGATTTTCGTTATATTCCTAAAAAACTGAAAAGTTGAAAAGGATTTTAGTAATCCTTACTAATATTATAAATGGGAAAGTGAGTTTGTTTGTTTGTTTGTTCCACTTTCACGCCGTAACTACTAAACCGATTGCTTTGAATTTTTGCAGACGTAAAGTTAGAAGCCCGGATTAAATAAAAGGGTACTTTTAACCCGGGAAAATTTGATGTTCCCGAGGGAAAACAAAAGTATTGATATAGATGGCGCTGTGTGTATTGGTATATGTCACATAGGCTACTTTTTATCCTTTTGTGACGCGAGCGAAGCCGCGGGTAAAAGCTAGTTTCTCATAAAATAAAAACTAAGTGTCTCATAACGTAACATCATGCCTTTTATTCCCGAAGGGGTAGATAGAGATGCACATTACGGCAATTAATGCCACTGTACAATGTAACACCCACTTTTCAGTATTTTATGTTATGAGCCCATGTAATAGGGAGTGAGCGTATTGCCATATACCGGGCACAATTCTGGACTCTGTGTTATTACTGAGAATTTTAAAAACCCCAGCAATACTTGGTTTCATAATTCTCGAACTATCTTTTTACAGAATAGTACTTATTTATATTTCGTCAGTACCTACCTACTATAATAATTACAGTAGAATTAAGGAAAAATAATTTGTAAGTAATTAAATAATTATGCAAACAAATAAATGTCATGAATGACCTTTAAATGTAATTCAAACAAAATATTTCCTCAAATTACGTATCTGTAGACACCTACACACAAACATACATACCTACATGATATCATAGTGCACTTAGCAACCATTGATGTGAATCAATGCTACCAATAATAAAATGCCTACGTGACATCCCATGCATTCCCTATTCAAAAATTTGGAACACAGGGAGATTCCTTTCTTAGAGGGAGACAGAACAACAACAATGGACATCATCCCTCGTGCTAGAACGAGACGCAACAATAACACGCGCACGCTGCATGATCGGGAATCTTTGTTTACATGTACCTCAAGAAAGGAGGTGGTATTTTTAAAATTATTGTCTTTGCTTTTTACTTTTTTTTCTTTGTCTTGCTGAAGTGATTATAGTTTTTTTTATAGTTTTATTTATATAAATGCAGGTAAAAAGTATAAATAATAGAAATACTAATTTATGTAAATTATTTATTTTAAGTACCTACGATCAGTCAAAAATGTAGGTAAACTTTAAAATAAATTTATATAAAGTAGATACTTTATGCATACATTTTTCATATTGCAAAAACCTAATACGAATAAATGACTGTTGGTAATAATATGCAGATTTTATTCTTTCCATCTAAATGAAATATGGTTATCAATTTGCTATTGAGGTCTGTCGAAGATTTAACATTAAATAAATAATATTTTAAGTAGATATTTATTATAATCACTATTTTGCCCTATAAAACATAATAGGACAAGATAGTGGAAATTGGAAATTTTAGCATTATTTAAATATAAACAATAATTAAACTCACCTCACTGGCAAAAACAGAACACACACACACAAAAGTAATCACAGCGCTTAAAACCTTCATTGTTTTTAATTTATCACTACCACAAATTAAATAAAAATGTACAAAAAAAACAAACGAAATTCTAAATTCGAATATCGAAGAAATGGCGCGAGATTGCGTCTTTACCGGCTGGCGCGCGGCGCGGTTATGCCGAGTCTTTCTTCGGCTTTGATGCTTAGGGCGAATAATATTGCATTTGATTATGCCTTGGTACCACGATATCAAATAATATCTATTTTAGATTATAACGAAAACATTAAGCTGCCTTTCATACACAGCGTGATACGGGTTAAGGGCACTAGTTAAACAGAATACAGAACATTATCGCTATTTCTTTAGATAAACGGAGATTTTTCTTTTTAATGATGTAATCCATAAGCTTATCTTGCTTTGGAACTCATTATGATAGAACTTGTGGCCTTATATTATAAAGCGTAAGAGAGCCATGCTTCGGCACGAATGTGCCGGCTCGACCGGAATGATACCACGGCCGAGCAGAAAACCTGATGGTAAACAATCGGCGTCGCCCATGGACACCCGGAACACCAGAGGCGTTACAAGTGCGTTACCGGCCTTTGGGAAATTAAGGAATTTGAGGATTTTTGGGGATTCAGGGATTCGGGAGTTTGGGGAGGGAGGTAGTTGGGCCTCCGGTAACCTCACTCACACGACGAAACACAACGCAGGCATTGTTTCACGGCAGGTTTCTGTGAGACCGTGGTATCACTCCAATCGAGCCGGCCCATTCGTGCCAAAGCGTGGGTCTCCCACACTTAAGAGTTCGAAAGGTTTCATAAAAATAGATGTTCGTGTCATCTATTGTAGCTAAAATTACTTTTTATCGTGATCTTTAAGGTCATAAATGAAAATAAATTACAGTTTTCATAATAAAAACTGTGTGGCGTGATAACTTCTACTTAAATCAGTAAATCTTTTTTTAAAACCTTCGCTTCTGGTTGTTTACCGGATTTCACCAGTTTCAGCCTGACGTACCTAATTGCATTTAGGTTTAAGTAGCTTATTTTGATGACACCCACTTTTATTTTTGTACCGTAATTTGAAGTTAAACGTCGATATTATCGTATCATTCATTTCTAACGTCATCTACATTAACGGAAGAATAATAACTACCGCAATGTTAAGTTCGACGGTTCAATAATTTTGCCGTTACCACTCGACACTGGCAGTATAGTCGACAACACCATTTTGAAGACTCGGTTGCCAAAGAAGAAAAAAAAATAGTAAATACCTATTTAGAACTTGCAGAAAATCTTGTAACGGTGCGCCCACATAATAATTATGACGAATGCCCAGCTCGCGAGCTGCTCGCTTGTCGCCCGCGAGCTGCGGGCGTGCATTTAATATTATTATTTATACGACCCTTGTATGAGTTGAGAACCAAAACCAAACCATTGCCGTGACTGGACGCGCGCAGGCTCGCGCACTGCGCATGCGCCATATGTAGACGCATGAACGGTTGACACAATATTCTTGTATGGAACAACTCTTTGTGTGATCCATAAACTGTAAAGTGTCAGACACCATAAATATTTTGCATCGTGAACACATATAAACAACCGGAGGCGGAGTGAATCTATAGAGCACCTATGGCAAGTATCTCATGCGCGCCTCAAAGAGATCACCACCACGGATATGACCCTATAGGGCTGATGTACTGAGCCGCGGAGAACGTAAAAGGTTACCGGGGCTCTGCCCGTCTCGAAGTGCATGACTGGGAACGGGGTGGTTTTTAGTCAGTAAGAGTCTGACACCTCCTTCCCGCCTCACCCAGGCGGGATAAGTCATTCGATGATTTTCCCCCCTAAAAAAAGGCAAGTATCTCATAGACAAGTTTTTGAGAGCCATGCTTCGGCACGAATGG